TGCTCTCCTGCCTCCCCTGGTCCTTTTGTTCCTTAAAATCAGATGAAAGTCAGATGAACAGAGTTGGAAGGGACCTTGTAGGTCATCTAGTCCAACCCCACCCCCACCCTCAAATACTGGAAGGCTGCTCTCCTGCCTCCCCTGGTCCTTTTGTTCCTTAAAATCAGATGAACAGAGTTGGAAGGGACCTTGTAGGTCATCTAGTCCAACCCCCCTGCCCTCAAATACTGGAAGATGGCTCCCCTGGTCCTTCTTCTCTTCCCTAGACCAGCCAGGCCCAGTTCCTGCAACCGTCCGTCGTGTGTTTGAGCCTCCAGTCCCCTAAAATCATCTCCGTTGCTCTTCTCTGCACTTTTTTCCAGAGTCCCAACATCCTTTTTGATCGTGTGGTGACCCAAACTGGACGCAGGACTCCGGGTGTGGCGTCACTAAGGAGGGAGGGGGCCATGTTCCGGGGAAAGCTGCGGAGAGAGGGCGGGGGAGTCCGGGGTGGGATGGATGACCTTCTTGGCCAAGAACCCCCCCCCACACACACCCATGCCCACCTCTCGAATTCTTTGGTCTTGGTACATTCCTGCACCCCTTTGCTGATGACGATGAGGAAGTCCTGGGTGAGGACGAAGGGGACTCGCTCCCGCTTGTAGCCGAATTTCTTCTTCTTGTGGTCCAGGAAGTGCCCGAAGTCGATGTGGAAGAGCTGCAGAGAGAGAGAGAGAGAGAAAGAGAAAGAGTGAGAGAGAGAACGAGAGAGACAGAGAGAGAAAATGAGAGAGAACGAGAGACAGAATGAGAAAGAGAGAGAATGAGAGAGAGAGAGAGAGAAAAGGAGAGAGAGAATGAGAGACTGAATGAGAGAGAGAGAAAATGAGAGAGAATGAGAGAGAGAAAGAGAATGAGAGAGGGAGAAAGAGAATGAGAGAGAGAGAAAGAGAATGAGAGAGAGAGAGAAAAGGAGAGAGAGAATGAGAGACAATGAGAGTGAATGAGAGAGAGAGAATGAGAGAGAGAATGAGAGAGAATGAGAGAGAGAATGAGAGACAGAGAAAATGAGAGAGAATGAGAGACAGAATGAGAGAGAGAGAATGAGAGAATGAATGAGAGAGAGTGAGAGACAGAATGAGAGATAGAGAAAGAGAGAGAATGAGAGAGAATGAGAGAGAGATAGAATGAGAGAAAGAATGAGAGAGAGAATGAGAGTGAATGAGAGAGAGAGAAAATGAGAGAGAATGAGAGAGAGAGAGAGAGAATGAGAGAGAGGATGAGAGAGAGGATGAGAGAGAGGATGAGAGAGACAGAATGAGAGAGAAAATGAGAGAGAATGAGAGACAGAATGAGAGAGAGAGAATGAGAGAATGAATGAGAGAGAGTGAGAGACAGAATGAGAGATAGAGAAAGAGAGAGAATGAGAGAAAATGAGAGAGAATGAGAGAGAGAATGAGAGAGAGAAAGAGAGTGAGAGAGAGAATGAGAGAGCATGAGAGACAGAATGAGAGACAGAATGAGAAAGAGAGAGAATGAGAGAGAGAGAAAAGGAGAGAGAATGAGAGAGAGAGAGAGAGAATGAGAGAGAGAATGAGAGACAATGAGAGTGAATGAGAGAGAGAAAAAATGAGAGACAGAGAATGAGAGAGAGAATGAGAGGGAATGAGAGAGAGAGAATGAGAGAGAATGAGAGACAGAGAAAATGAGAGAGAATGAGAGAATGAATGAGAGAGTGAGAGACAGAATGAGAGATAGAGAAAGAGAGAGAATGAGAGAAAATGAGAGAGAATGAGAGAATGAATGAGAGAGAGTGAGAGAAAGAGAATGAGAGAGAGAATGAGAGAGAGAGAGAGAATGAGAGAGAGAGAGAGAGAGAGAGAGAAGGGCGGGGCTCGGCGGGAGGGAGGGCAGGCCTTCAAAGCCCAGTGGGGGGTGGAGAGGAGGACCACCTACCTGCCCATCATCCTTGACCATGATGTTGCTGTTGTGACGGTCGCCGATGCCCAGGATGAAAGTGGCTACGCAATAGCCGGCACAAGAGCGCGTGAAGAGGTCGATGGCCGCGTCGTACCTGGGGCAGGTAGGGAGAAGGTAAGCCAGGTAAGCGTCCCAGGTGGGTCTCCATCCTCCTCCACGTCGCGGCTGCCCCGAAGGTAACTTTCCCCTCACACCCCAAAAAAATGGGCAACCAGGACTTTTCTTGGATATATATATTTTGTTTGTTTGTTAAATATGTCTTTTTATTAGACATTTTCTTTCATATACATCACTATTCAAGAATTGTACTATGGGGTTGGGTCCTGGATACTTTGTAGGTCATCTAGTCCAACCCCGCGCAGGGAGAAGAAGCAACGGCTGGTAAACTAACCCAGGGAGAGAAGCAACCTAGAACTAAGGAGGTAACCTTCTCAACAAGGGAGAACAATGGGACCCGTGGGACTGCCCGCCACCAGAAGTTTTGGGGGCTTCATCCCTTAAGAAAAAAATAACTGGACAGCCGTACAGGCAGGAGCGGGATTCCGCTGTCTTAACCACCGGGTCTGTGGGCGTGGCCTGTTTTGTGGGCGTGGCTTGGTGGTCCCGTGACTGGCTGGGGCGTGGCTGGTCTGAAAATATTGTCGGTATCTACGTCTATCTTGAATTTTTTGGATTTAAAAAAATAAAATGAGGCCAAGCAGGAAGGCAGATGGAATTGCTCACAGAATCATTCAGTGATCTATCCATCCGCCATCGGCTACCTGAGTCTGTCACATAAAGTTTGCTTGGAAGCAAACACATAGCATTTGCTAGCAAGCACACTCACAAAATGAACTCACAACACGCCAGGCGTGTAAATATTGAATTTTTTATTGTAAAAAAAAGAGAGCAACTTTTACCCCAAAGCAGGCCAAGCAGGCAGGCAGATGGAGTTGCTCACAGAATCATTCAGTGATCTATCTCTCTGCCATCGGCTACCTGAGTCTGTCACATAAAATGTGCCTGCAAGCCAACTCACAAAATTAACTCACAACACACCAGGGGTGTAAATAATGATTTTTTTTTATTAAAAAAAGAGTAACTTTTCCCCAAAAGTAGGCAGGCAGATTGAGTTGCTCACAGAATCATTCAGTGATCTATCTATCCGCCATCGGCTACCTGAGTCTGTCACATGAAATGTGCCTGCAAGCCAACTCACAAAATTAACTCACAACACGCCTTGTACGTAAATATTGAATTTTTTTATATAAAAAAGAGCCATTTTTACCCCAAATCAGGCAAAGCAGGCAGGCAGATGGAGTTGCTCACAGAATCATTCAGAGATCTATCCATCTGCCATCGGCTACCTGAGTCTGTCACATAAACTTTGCTTGGAAGCAAACTCATAACATTTGCTAGCAAGGACACTCACAAAATGAACTCACAACATGCCAGGCGTGTAAATATTGAATTTTTTTTATTTAAAAAAAAAAGAGAGCAACTTTTACCCAAAATCAGGCCAAGCAGGCAGGCAGATTGAGTTGCTCGCAGAATCACAGATTCATTCAGAAATCTATCTCTCTGCCATCGGCTACCTGAGTCTGTCACATAAAATTTGCTTGCAAGCAAACTCACAAAATTAACTCACAATATGCCAAGTATGTAAATATTGATTTTTTTATTTTAAAAAATGAGGTAAAGCGGGCAGGCAGATTGAGTTGCTCACAGATTCATTCAGTGATCTATCTATCTGCCATCGGCTATCTGAGTCTGTCACATAAAATGTGCTTGCAAGCCAACTCACAAAATTAACTCACAACACACCATGTATATATATAAAAAAGAGCAACTTTTACCCAAAATCAGGGAAAGCAGGCAGATTGAGTTGCTCACAGATTCATTCCGTGATCTATCTATCTGCCATCGGCTACCTGAGTCTGTCACATAAAATTTGCTTGCAAGCCAACTCACAAAATTAACTCACAACACGCCGTGTGTGTAAATATTGAATTTTTCATTTAAAAAAAAGGAGAGCAACTTTTACCCCAAATGAGGCAAAGCAGGCAGGCAGATGGAGTTGCTCGCAGAATCACAGATTCACTCAGAGATCTATCTATCTGCCATCGGCTACCTGAGTCTGCACTGAATAATAGAAGCTTCAATCCTAAGGGAGGTTCGGCTCTGCTCAAAAGCAGAGCCGAAGATCTAAAGACGAGCTAGAAAGAATCATTCAGTGACCTATCTATCTGCCATCGGCTACCTGAGTCTGTCACATAAAATTTGCTTGCCGTGAGTCTGCACTGAATAATAGAAGCTTCAATCCTAAGGGAGGTTCGGCTCTGCTTAAAAGCAGAGCCGAAGATCTAAAGACTAGCTAGAAAGAATCATTCCATGATCTATCTATCTGCCATCGGCTAGCTCAGTCTGTCACATAAAATTTGCTTGCCGTGAGTCTGCACTGAATAATAGAAGCTTCAATCCTAAGGGAGGTTCGGCTCTGCTTAAAAGCCGAGCCGAAGATCTAAAGGTTACCTAGAAAGCTAGAAATCCAACTGTTTCCTGCTTCCTAGCTGATCTAAATCTCCCGGCACAGCAGAACAGATGATGGTTAGGAGGGAAAAAAAGAAAGGAAAAAGAGCGACTTAGCGGGCAAGTTGGATGGCGTAAGGAGTGAGTAGGCGGGGCGGTGCAGGGCCAGCCAGGGCCGCAATTTGCCGGTTCTCCAAACTGGGCAGAATTGTAACAACCGGTTCCGTATAGAACCAGTCGGACCAGGTAAACTCCCACCCCCGTGTACAGGGTCTCTCTCCTGCTTCGGCAGGGGGGGTCGGACTAGATGACCTCCAAGGTCCCTTCCTCCTGGCTCCATTCTGATGGGTCGAGCTCTGTTCTTCGTTCGGAAGCACCTTCCGAGTGGTGTCCCACTGCCCAGCCCGCCAACCCCTCCCCGTTCAGTCCCCCCGCCCCCCCAAACCCCACCCCCCAGGCCCAGACTGACCCTTCGCCCTTGTTCTTGTCCTTCAACCAGTGATGCAACGCGTTGCTGTTGAACTGCAGCGCCCCCTTCAGGCCGCCCTTGCACTGGATCTGCATGATGGTGTAGGAACTCTTCACCACTTCGATGAGCCCCACGCAGTCCCCGATGGACAGGCAGCCGTAGGGCAGCATCCTGCCAAGAGGGGAGGGGGAGGGCAGGTCAGGCCTGGAGGGAGCCCCCGGGTTTTGGGAGCTGAAGGCCACGGAGCAGCGAGGGAGGAAGGCCGGGTGGGCAGGTGGGTTTGGCTCCTCCCAAATGAGGCAGGGGGCTTTCGCCCGGGAGGACCAGCTATCTCCTCCAGCCGGCCACACGCAAGCACATCTCATACTCCGTCTCTTTCTCCTCCCCCCTCCTTTTAATATATATAATACATTATAATATATATATATAAATAATAGAATACATTCACCAAGAATCAGAAGATACTCATAGGATACTAAATCAGCAATCAAAATCGTACACAGAAAGTAAATCATATAAGTGGTAAGGATACAAGCAACAAGGTTATGGTCAAAAGTGGGAAGTCGTAAGTACTAGGAAGGATGATAAAAAATACATTCGCCAAGACTCATAAGATACTCATAGGATACTAAACCAGCAATCCAAATCGCACACGGAAACTAAATCATGCAAGTTGTAAGGATACAAGCCACAAGGTTAGAGGGAAGAGATGGGTACCAGGAAGGATGAAAAAATACATTCATCAAGAATTGTAAGATACAACACTTAGTGATACTCATAGGATACTAAATCAGCAATCAAAATTGTACGCGGAAACTAAATCATGTAAGTTATAAGGATACAAGCCACAAGGTTAGAGGGAAGAGAGGGGTACCAGGAAGGATGAAAAAAATACATTCATCAAGAACCGTAAGATACAACACTTAGTGATACTCATAGGATACTAATTCAGGAATCAAAATCATACGAGGAAACTAAATAATGTGTAAGGATACATGCAACAAGGTTACAGTCAAAAGGTGGGAAGAGATAGGTACTAGGAAGGATGATAAAAATACATTCACCAAGAATCATAAGATACTCTTAGGATACTAAATCAGCAATCAAAATCGTACGCGGAAAGTAAATAATATAAGTGGTAAGGATACAAGCAACAAGGTTATAGTCAAAAGTGGGAAGAGATAGGTACTAGGAAGGATGATAAAAATACATTCACCAAGAATCATAAGATACTCATAGGATACTAAACCAGCAATCAAAATCGCACGCGGAAACTCAATCATGCAAGTTGTAAGGATACAAGCCACGAGGTTAGAGGGAAGAGATGGGTACCAGGAAGGATGAAAAAAATACATTCATCAAGAATTGTAAGATACAACCCTGAGTGATACTCATAGGATACTAAACCAGCAGTTAAAATCGCACGCGGAAACTAAATCATGTAAGTTGTAAGGATACAAGCCCACAAGGTGATAGTCCTAAGGGGGAACAGGCTCCCTTGGCTCCTCTTCCTCGCTGCTCCCAGACTCCGGAGGCTACGGTGTCCCGACACCATCCGTCCCGGCTGCCGGCGAACCACAACACCCCTTATCCACGGCCGTCCCGCCCCACCGTCCGTTTCCATTTTTTTTTTCTTTTTCTAAATAATGCTTTCTTGAATTTTTTTTCCCGTTTATACACAATACCAGTAGTTATTAAACAGCGCTGTGACATTTTATATCTACAAGGATGTGTCCTATCAAAACTTACAACGCCTCATATTTTCATACCCTCTTATTTATTATATACATTATTTACATTTTCTATTTTCATATCGAATCTCGATCCAAATAAACCAGGTTTCCCGCACTGCGTTGTATTCTGCGTCTGTTTTCCCTTTTAATTCCATAGTTAATTTATCCATTTCCACACACTCTAAATTTATTTATTTATTATTATTATTATTAACCCTTCGGGTGATATGGAACTTATGAAATATTTTCTTGCTGCTGTGAATATATGTAAATATAAAATATTTATTCTGGTTTTTTTTAATCCTTGCTGCTGTCAATATATGTAAATATAAGATATTTTATCTTTCTATTATAGTTTTTTTTAATTCTTGCTGCTGTCAATATATGTAAATATAAGATATTTTATCCTTCTATTATAGTTTTTTTTAATTCTTGCTGCTGTTAATATATGTAAATATAAGATATTTTATCTTTCTATTATACTTTTTAAAATTCTTGCTGCTGTCGATATATGTAAATATAAGATATTTTATCCTTCTATTATAGTTTTTTTTTAACTCTTGCTGCTGTCGATGTATGTAAATATATTTTATCTTTCCATTATAGTTTTTTTAATTCTTGCTGCTGTCGATATATGTAAATATAAGATATTTTATCTTTCTATTATACTTTTTTAAATTCTTGCTGCTGTCGATATATGTAAATATATAAGATATTTTATCTTTCTATTATACTTTTTTAAATTCTTGCTGCTGTCAATATATGTAAATATAAGATATTTTATCTTTCTATTATAGTTTTTTTTAATTCTTGCTGCTGTTAATATATGTAAATATAAGATATTTTATCTTTCTATTATACTTTTTAAAATTCTTGCTGCTGTCGATATATGTAAATATAAGATATTTTATCTTTCCATTATAGTTTTTTTAATTCTTGTTGCTGTGAATATATATAAATATAAGATATTTTATCTTTCTATTATAGTTTTTTTAAAATTCTTGCTGCTGTGAATATATATAAATATAAGATATTTTATCTTTCTATTATAGTTTTTTTAATTCTTGCTGCTGTGAATATATATAAATATAAGATATTT